CTATAAAGGGGCAGCTGTGAGCTAGGATCTAGAAGGACAAGTATGAGAAACGGGATAGGAGGAAACCAAGCAGAAGCCAGTGGCTGGTCGAAGCCTGGAGAAGCCTGAGGTAGAGGTGCTTAGGGATGCAGTGGTGAAGGCAGGGCTGTATGGCATTGGGTCCGTGGTTGTTCGCAGATGCGAGGTGCACCCCTCTGGTGATGCACCCCTCTGGCGAACACCCACCCAGTCCTTGATAAGCTCTCCGCATCAACCAATGCTTTCTCGAGCATACGTGTTTCGGTGGTGTGGGAACCAGGAAGAGGCCTCCGTTCATATGTGAGTAGTCAGCTCAGTGTCCCCCACAGAAGCCATGACTAGAAAGAAAGGGATGCCTCCTAAGTGGCTCCCCACACTTGCTAGCCAGGCTTGAAAGGCTCCGAAGCAGGGCATGGGATGAGGGTTGGAGCTGATTTCAAAGGCATAGCCAAGCCTGCCAGTATGAGCAGCTCCTGCCTGGTTCCTGTCTAGTTGCCTGTCTGTCCTTGATGACGGTCAGGAGTCCGTATTCCTACCTGACCACCTTGATGACATGCATCCTGGAAATGGCCCTGCGGATATTTAATGACAACTTATGTGTGGACAGGACGGGGCTATAAAAAGGGTCCGGTGTCTCTGCTCATTCTGTAGTCTTCCATTTCTGTGGGAGGCAGGCAAGCTCAGCCCCCATCTTTCTGTTCCCCTCAGCCTCCATATCTCACCTCCTTCCCTGGCCTTCACATCTATCATCTTGTCTCTCTACTCCAGTGCATCAACCCAGGTTCCAGTCGCCTGGGCAGTCGGTCACTTTGCTGTCCCCTCTCGCCTGTCCGGCCCATTGTTGGCTGCCACATATAAATACGACCCCTCGTTGTCTTTCTGTAGCTCCTAACCAGTTAAGCAGAGTTAAATACAAGCTCCTAAGGTCAGCGAGCATGGCCAAATCCATCCTAGTGGGCACCTGCCTACCATGACAGCCTTAGCAACCCCCATACTTCCTGGGTCCCGTTGAGCCTTTGCTCTGCAAGGGACCTGCAGTTCCGGAGTCCTGGCATTCTCACTGGCCCCCTGGCTTGGGACGCACTCTGTCGGCTTAAAGCAGTGATGCGCGAGAGTCCTGAACTGACTGACCAGTGGGCCTCCGAGCGGTGACAGCCCTCGTGGCTCATATACAGGAACTCCCTAGGGACAAGAGCCAGCTGCTTACCTTGAGTCTGCATTTGCATACCAAGCATTGTGTTTTTTATTTAGATATTATGCAAAAATCAATAAAAATGGAAGCACTTCCTGTAGAAGCATAATTCACAGTTTAGAGTCAAACTGAAGTAGCATGGAGACAATGTCAACTCTCCACACCCAAACTTGGAAATCCTTTTAATCTGACGGCTGGAAGGAGGGACATGGAGACAGAGGCAGGGGGTACTGGCGCAGACACCTCCTGTCCTTCAGTCCTTCCATCTGCCCCGTCCACTGCCTGACTCTGAGGAAGGGCCTCAGGGTACTCCAGACGGGTCTTAAGCACCCCATTTTTTGAGTCAGTCTTCAGTTCTCCTGTCAGATGGAATACAATGTATAACTCCCATTTTTACATAAAGAGTCATTCACCAATGACTTCTTAAATTATTCATAGCTACTACAAGGTGATGTTTTTGAACTAATATATCAGGCTCCTAGAGTTTGCTGAGGATGCCGAATAATTTTCCCCTAGAAAGCTGGACACCGCGGCTCCTGGAAGGCCCACACCCTGCTCCTGGAAGTGTGGGGTTTCCCAATTAGAGGAAAGGCCGTCAGTCTGGAAGAAGCAGTCATGGCTGTGACGCCTGAGCTTTGTGTTTGGTTTTGTTTGACACAGGGTTTCTCAATGTAACCCTGGCTGTTCTGAAAGTCTCTGTATAAGTCAGGCTGGCCTCAAACTCACAGAGATTCATCTGCCTCCACCTCTCCAGTGCCACCACATCTGGTCTGATTTTTTTTTAAGATCTAAAAAAATTATTTTGAGTCTATTATGCATAGGGCATGAGATGCGAGGGTTAAGGTGACTGAGCCTTACATCGAGCTTATTATAATGATGTCTTTCTGGGGGAAAGGAGGGCGTGCAGGCGTGGAGGACTTTAGGGGAGGGTGTGGACGGCAAGCAAAGGAGTTTTGGTGATTTGTAATCATGTATTATGATTGATTTATCTTCTTCACCAATTAAATTTATTATGGGGCATCTATAATGCACACACATGTTAATACTGTATGTGGGCCAATAATTTTTCAGTAACTTGATATTCATATATCGTTGTTTAAAAATACATTATGTCCATTAAACCTGTTGCTAAAGAAGATATCTACATATGTAAAACATATTTACATATCTATGTATTTGTTTGTGCTGCTTAGTAGATATTTCCTTTGTGAATCTCTGTGAGGTTTTCTGTTGTTTGCTTGTTTAGTGCTGAGAATTAACCCTAGGCTTCCAAAGGCATAAGCTACATCCCTAGCCCATGCCTCTTTAAATAACATGCGATATTTTACTAAAGTAAATGGGTTGATCAAGTTCCTGGTAAATGAATGGACCTACATTGTTTTATAAACAGAATTATAAAATGACTCTTTTTTTGTGTGTGCAGGAGTTGAGACAGGGCTCTCTACACAGCCCTGGATGTTCTAGAACTTATTATATAGAAGAGCCTGGTCTTGAACTCACAGAGATCCACCTGCTTCTGCCTCTCAAGTACTAGGATTAAAAGCCTGGCAATAAAATGTTTTCGTAGAAAACCCCATGAAGACGTTTCTATTCTGCTGTAGTGAAGCAGGGGAAGGCACCATGATTGTATACCTATTCTGTATTCTGCACTGGCTTTCTGGCCCACCGTCTAATGATGACATCATGGTTAATGTTCCATTAAAAATGATGCCGGGTCAGAATGCAAATCCTGTAGCGCTGACAAGGTGAGGTACTTATGCATTATGAATGGTCATCGTCTTTGTTAATTAAACTTGTTAGGAACTAGCTGTGATGCCTGCTTGTGTTAGCCCAGTGTATGGGGACAATACTGGACTGGCAGTTGGCCACACTGCCATACTGCTGCATGCATGTCTGTCAAGCTGATAACTTATCAAACCAGGACAGCTGCACATTAATCTTGAATCTGATTTATTTTCTCATAAGATTGAACTCTGTTCATACATGCTCAGCCATCAATAGCTTGTTGCTTGCCTAGCAAATTTGTCTGCAAACAGTGAGGGGATGTATCTATTTGCCAGGAAAAGGGAAGGTGAGGAAAGAAAAGGAGGAAAAAGGGAGGGAAAGGGGAGATGTAAAGAGAAGGGAGGAGAAGGAAGGAAGGGGGAGGAAGAACCAGAACTCTGTCCTAACAAATTTCTGAGGAAACTGATCCTCCCACATGGATAAAACATGACTTTTGGGGAGCTGGAGAGATGACTCAGTGGTTAAGAGCACTGGCTGCTCTTTCAGAAGATTCCCAGATTCAATTTCCAGCACCACGTGGTGCCTCACAACCATTTGTAACTCCAGTTTCAGGGATCTTAACATCTGAGTCATCTCTCCAGCCTCCTTTTTCTTTCACTGTCTTATCAGGCTGCGCTGAAGCTTCTGGATTCAGCATTCTTCCTTCCTGGCCTTCTGGTGCGGGCCTGTGACCAGCGCATCTGGCATCAAGGCCACTTTTAATGTTCCTTTAGACATATACATATACACAGCCTCCAGTTTATCCTGGACAAACTTACCAGGGTAGTAAGTCAAGGAAGGACGAGGCTTAAGAACAAGTGCATAGTGGGTGGAGAGATGGAGAGATGGCTCAGCGACTAAGAGTTTATGTTGCTCTTTCCAAGGGCCTAGTACCTATCCCAGGGACCTAGAACTCCAGCACCACAGGCTCTGATGCCTTTGACCTCCTCAGACGCGTGCAAGCACGCATGTACACACGCATACACACACACACACATCATTAAAAAATAAATCCTTTTTCCGAGCGGTGGTGCACTCGGGAGGCAGAGACAGGTGGATCTCTGTGTTTTCGAGGCCAGTATGGTCTACAGAGTGAGTTCCAGGACAGCCAAGGCTACACAGAGAAACTCCGTCTCCAAAAACCAAATAAATAATAAACAGACAAACAAACCCTTTTTAAAAGTCACAGTCAGATTAAAGAGAGGTAAGAGAGCCCATGGAAGAAGACATGGGAAAGCTGAACCCAGTTTTCCATCAAAATTAATTTTCCAGGCATGAGACACATGTTTTTAATCCCAGCACTCAGGAGGCAGAGGCAGGAGGATCTCTATGAGTTCCAAGCCAACCTGATCTACAAAGCAAGTTCCAGGACAGCCAGGGCTATTATAGAGAGAAACCCTATCTCGAAAAACCAAAAACCAAAACCAAACAAAAAGATTAATTTTCCAGAGACCAAAAGCAGATGGCTCAATCAAGATCTCATGCTAGCCTAACTAACACCCAAGTCCTGAGGCCTCTGAAGGTAGATAGGAGCCTTGTGAATCTCAAATACCAGAAACCGAGAGACAAAAGTACCAAGAGTCATGGTGTTCTAATTCTTACATCCGACTGCACCAAGATGCAGCCTGAGTTTATGAAGTTAGCATTTTGCTTGCCCCAGCACAGAGCCGTGAGGTCCTCTAACTACTGAATATCAAATGTCACCATCATTACCCAGACAGTGGTAACACCTTACACTTTACACATCTCACTCCCAACCAATCAGCCTGAGAGATGAACTTTATCATCCCTGACACACGCACTGGAGAAGTAAAGAGATGGCTGAGATCACCCAGCAGCAATGGCACAGCAGACCCTTCAAGGCCCTTGTTCCTCCAGTTGCCCCTGACAGTGTACCAGTCTCAGGCAACAGTCCCTCAGCCCTTGCCTGAGAGATTGCGCGTTTGGCCACATGTCTCACCAACGTGGACGGATGACTACAGTGGAAAAAGCAAGACGCCGTCCTTAGGAAAGATGAAGCACTTACCTGGACTGCCGGGGTGTTCGTTGCAAGCAGCTGGGGTGACAGCAGTGGACTGAGGGCTGTGTTCAGGCACAGCTGGGGTGAGGCCTTGCTCGCCCACGTACCCTCACTCACCCTGAAAGGCAACAGGCACCAGCCAGACCGTACTTCCTCTTTCTGGTCAGCCCATGGCTGTCATCCCCGTTCCAGGGAAGCTGACTACCCCAAGTTTTCTTGACGCTAGAATCTTCCCAGGGCTTCTTGTGGCTCCAGCAGAGACCCACAAAGTCTCGTCATGGGGTGGAAGGGCGTTCCAGGATGGGTCAGGCTCCAGTGTGAATGACTGAGGGGTTCCCATGGGGTAAGTCCCCCTTGAACATTTCTAGGCACAGTCATGTGGGGCTCAAGAAGAGAGACGGGTCCCTGAGTCCACCCAGAGAGGCATGATGGGAGACAAGTGACAGATTCACTATCCCACAAGAGTGACTCTCGAACCCCTAGAGCTCCTGGTCCAGCTTCTGCTCAGAGGGGGGAAGGAAAAGGCTGCCAGTGTCTGAGAGAGCATAGTCGAGGCTGGCCTTGAGTGTGTGAGCTTCCCACCTCCATCTTCCTCGTACTAGGATTACAAGTGCATGCCACCACACCCAGGCAGTGGACCATTGGGATTGAGTTAAGTCATTCCCTACCGTGCTGTGAGAGAGAATTCCCAGGGATGCTCACAGACTCTGGAAATGGAAGCTTGGGCTGTGGAAACGAGAAACCACTTTGCAGAAGATCTTACCATGAGCAGTCACGCCAGGGTGGTAAAGATGTGCTTGAGGTCACCCTCCAAGGGAGGGGCTGCCCTGGCACCCTGGCACAAGGATGACCACCAAAGTGACTGGCAAAGGTTCCCCTACCTGCTCAGGAGATTCCTGGTGTATAGCATTTGCTAGTGTTTACGGTTAAAAAAAAAATACCCCGATCATGGCCAATTTCAAAATATTAGCGTGGCATCAAAGGATTGGAATTGGGAGGAAAGGGCATCTAGACAGCTCTCCCAGGCCTTCTGGGCCGACATTGTTGCCTTGCTAGAAGCCATTGGGGTTTTTTGTTTTTGTTGTTGTTGTTCTTCTTCTTGTTGTTTTGTTTTGTTTTCCAAGACAAGGTTTCTCTGTAGCTTTGGTGCCTGTCCTGGAACTCACTCTTGTAGACCAGGCTGGCCTCGAACTCACAGAGATCTGCCTGCTTCTGCCTCCCTAGTGCTGGGATTAAAGGGGTGCGCCACCACTGCCCGGTTCAAGAAGCCATTGTTGAGCACTGTTACAGGCTAGTTCTTCTTTGTTTCACACTCCTTATCTCAAAAGATCTTCACTTAATTGGGTTATTTCCTTCATTTCTTAGAATCCTGAAGCTTGTGAAGGTCATGGCTGAGCTTTACTCACTGGTGAGGTGACCTTCAGCTCAGACCGCCCACATGTGAACCTTGTGCTCCTCCCCGTAAACACATCTGAAATTTAGTCACTCAAAAGTTGTCTCAAGGTAGGCAAGGTGGTGCATGCTTACCATCCCAGTACAAGGGAGGCAGAAGCAGGAGGGTTGCCGCCAGTTCAAGGTCAGCAGCAGCATTGAAGTGAGAAAGCTGTGTCTCCAAACAAACAAACAAAAATCCTACCTTTGAAAAGGCAAATTTAGGAGGCTGGAGAGATGGCTCAGAGGTTAAGAGCACTGGCTGCTCTTCCAGAGGTCCTGAGTTCAATTCCCAGCAACCACATGGTGGCTCACAACCATCTGTAATGAGATCTGGTGCCCTCTTCTGGCATGCGGGCATACATTCTGTATAATAAATAAATAAATCAAAAAAGAAAAGAAGAAAAGGCAAATTTAAAGTTACCTCCTGAGAAGGAAGTCAGTCAGTCCTCCTGTAGGTATGGCTTAGCCCAGGCTAGCAAAGCTACGATCCTTGGTTTGTGCTCTGTTCTTCCACTGGTTTTGCATCCTTTGAGGTCCCCAATCCAGTTGTGGCTTTTCAAACTCTATAGACATACTGTATCTAACAACTCGAATCAAGTTCAAGCCCTAGGAGGCAGAAGACCAAAATTCTGGGTCCAATTTGTCAGTAACTTCCATGCAAACCACTCCCTGCCAACTTAGTCCTCTTGTTTGTAAAAGCAAACTTTTCAACAAATAAACATTAAGTTGCTCTAGAGATTCTGCTAGGAGATCTTTTTTTCTGCCCTTTTTTGACAAAAAAAAAATTTCATATAATTGAGATACACATGTAGCTGGGCAGTGGTGGTGCACGCCTTTAATCCCACCACTTGGAAGGCTGAGGGAGAGAGATTTCTGTGAGTTTGAGGCCAGCCTGGTCTATAGAACTAGTTCCAGGATGGCCAGGACTGTTGCACAGAGAAACCCTGTCTCAAAACAACAGCAAACAAACAAACAAACAGAAACACGATGTAATGTATGACTTGATTAGCATGTGCTTTGTGAAGCGATAGTCACATGCAAGCTAACAAATCCATCACTTTACCACGGGTTTTAAAATCAAGTCAGGACTCATTTCTAAGCATGTTGCAGCATGTGTCCATCTATGTGAGCATTGCTGCATATGTGCAGCTGCCCCTGGTGGAGTTGTGAGCAATGGGATGTGGGTGCTGGAGCAGGATCTGGGTCCTGTGCCGGAGCGGCACTGCTGAGCCCTCCCTGCAGCCCCTCCTTGTCTTCAGTGTGAGGAAACTGAGGGCAGACTCGCTGAATTTCAAACTGCACAAAAGGCTCCCAAACTTCCTGATTTTATGTTTTTAGTTCTGGCACTGCCCATGCTAGGCAAATATTCCGCCACCCAGTTCCAGCTCCAGCTTTCTTTTCAGTTTCTAGTTTGAGACAGGGCATCACTAAATTTTGAACTCCTTGTGAACCCAGGCAGGCCTTGAGGAGCCTGCCCTTCTGCCCTAGATTCCAGCATACACGAAAGGCCATGATTTTAATATGTGAACTTCGAGGGCTTACTTTATCAGGCCTGGTGCTGCACAGGACAAGGATTAAAGAATCAGTCACATTGCCTACCACAGAGAGTTCCTGGGGGCTGGGGACATAGCCCAGAGATGTGGCAATGGTGTAGCATATTGAGATGCTGGTTCAACCCTCACCTCTGCAAAAATGAAACAAGAACGACAGAGAGAAAGCCCTTTAGGTTCTCTGAAGGTGAAGACATGCTGTTATACTGGTGAAGTCTGTCTTCACTTTGTGCCAGACTCCGCACTGCGGGGAAGACTCGAAGTCCAGCAGGCTGTGGATGGAGCTCCTGTTTGCAAAGATATTAGGGTCATATACCATGGCTAACCAAAGCGATGAGTGCTTGTGCTGTAGACGTGCAGGTTACAGCCAGGTGGTGGCACGTGCCTTTAATCCCAGCACTCAGGAGGCAGAGGCAGGCGGATCTCTTTGTGAGGCCAGCCTGGTCTACAAAAAAAAAAAGAAAAAAGAAAAAAAGAAAAAAGAAAAAAGAAAAAGAAAGAAAGAAAAAAAAGTGCAGGTTACAGAACCGAACGGATTTAAGTTCAAGGCCATTTAGTCTAGGCCTTCAGGCATGCATAGTAGCTCCGGAAGTGGAAGGCATGGGGACAAACAAACTCCAAGTGGCACAGGAGAAGATCGTGCGGCTGACCAGGATGGAGCATATTAGGCAGGTAGGTATCTACAAGCAGTTTCCAATTTACATTGGGGCTTCTGGACCTCTCCATTCCACATGCCCACGTCCCCTGACTTCACATCTTGTCTTTATACCACACAAAGAGGGCAGGAAATTGGGGTAGACATCCTTAGCCTTCTTTTTGCTCTTCTGGAATGCCACCTGCAGGTCTCTGCAGCTAAAGGAGCTCCCAAGGGCTCTAGAAACTGAGAATGGAATGGTGCCGTGCGCCCTCTTGTGGTCATATGTGATACTTCTTTTCTAAGAAAGGGGACTCTGTCGTCTCCCAAGGAACTATCTGAACACATGTATGTAAAATTACAGAGTAGAGGACTGATTGACTGATTAGATGACACCTAGAAGGATTCTAGTCCTTTCCTAGTCCCATGATTTTGTGCCTTCAGATCATGAAATTGTCGGTGTTGAAGACTTCGCTGGTGGTATGCAGTTAGGAGGCAGCTGGCACCCACATAGGGAGTGCTCACTGGAAGGTGGCACAGGTCTGTAATCTCAGCACTGAGGGGGCAGATTCCTGGGACTTGCTGGTCAGCCTTCCTAGACTAATTGGCAAACCTCAGGTCTCAGTGGGAGATCCCGTCTCAAAAAGAGGTGGTGGCTACTTGGGGAACCGCTCTTGAGTCCGACTTCTACACCCATGAACTTCCATGTGCTTGATCCCCAAGTGCAGGCACACTTGTACCCACATACATGCACATACACAGCTGCAAATAAAACGAAAAGAAGAGAAGAGAATATGCACAGTTTCCTTTTAAGAATAATCAAGAGAATTTCCTGCTTTGTGGAAAAGTCTGCTGGATACTATGGGCCTCTAGGCTAAAGATGGATGCTCCAATGATACAGAAGAATTGGGTGACTGTTCAGGCAGCAAGATGTCTCTGTCAATTCTAGAGTTTGGGTAGTTGCTTACAATGCACTTCCTGTTTACTTAGGTAATATATCTTTCTGCAGTCTTTGATTGAGTTAAAGAATATGTAGTTATATTTTCCCTTAATTATGATAAAAGACAAAGCAGATGTAAATATTGTAATCCAGGTGCTGGGATTAAGGAATACACCACCACAGCCCAACAACTTTAGGTTATTTTAAGAGATGGCTTCAGCTATCAGCTTGACATACACCTAGAGCCACCTGGGAAAGGGCATTCTCAAATGAAGACTTGGACAAGTGAGACTGGTTTGTGGCCGTGTTTTCTTAGCTGCTGCTGATGCAGGAGGGCCCAGCCCTCCAGGCAGGTGGGCAGGGGTTGTAGGGAGAAAGTAGTTGAGCAAGCAAGAGGAAGCAAGCGAGTATGCATCAAGTACCGCGGTGTCTGCTTTAGTTCCAGCCTCCAGCTGCAGCTCCTGCCCTGGTTGCCCTTGGGAACAGCTGCTTTTGTTACCATCTTACTTAATCTTCTGCTGCTCTGGCAAAGCACCGTGACCCGGGCGAGTTCTAAAAGAAAACATTTACCTGAGGGCTTGCGTACAGTCTTGAAGGGTTAGTCCATGACCAGTATGGTGGGGAGCATGGGAGCAGGCAGGCAGACGTGATGCTGGAGCAGTAACTGAGAGCTGGCATGTTAAGACAACAGCCATAAACCTCAAAGCCCACCCCCAGTGACACACCTCCTCCAACAAGGCCACACTTCCTAATCCGTCCCCAAAAGTTCCACCAATCAGGAACCAA